TGCTTCATGTTTACACATGCTAAGAAGAACAAGTTAAAACACTAGGGGACCATTTGCAGACCATGTTATTTATGGACAACAAGTTAAAGAAGATATTAACATCTATTTGGCTTAAAAAGCATTTAACGATTATTTTACTTGAAGAACCAATCATGGAAAGAGCAAAATTCATTAAAACATGCAGGTTCCAAGAGAACCTGTTGATGACTTCATAATGATCTTGATGCATTGTCTGAATCTTGTGAATGTGGAGCATTACAACCGGACTAATTAGGAACTGAATTATTAAAATTCCTGATTCATTGCTTTCAGATCTTTTGGAGTTGAAGGAAGAGCTCTCACTGGAAAAGGTACACATCCAGATTGTATTAGGAGCTGAGATTCAGAGCGACAAAAAAAAATCTGGGCTACAGAAAGATAAATTTACTCCAGAAGGCAGTTGGATCCGAAAAACTTCATAAGGCACAAATGATCCAAATGATCACATGACAAACTAACGCAAAGAATGTCCAAATCTTTTAATGCCATGCGTGATTATCTAAGATGTGGAGCAAAAAAAGAAAGAAAAGCATATCCAGCTCTGTTAAAGAATGTACATTTTCAAATAATTGTGCTAATACTGAAAGCCATTCTAAAGCAATGTTGGATACATCTGCAAAGAAGTCCGTGTTTTATTCCAAACACCATTGGGGTAAAAAAGATGTACTTCCATCAGAACATGCATCCTTAGATGATCACATACCTCTGTTAGAAGTAATACCATAACCTCTTCCTAGGCAAAAAAGGCAACCCATTTGAACCAGATATGGCGGAGCACTTCTGTGACAGCAAATATTCAATACTATTCAAGCTTGATATCAGAGTCAGTGTTACTTTACAAAAGTCCTTGTTTGAAAATTGGAGTTTCAGCTTCTTGATCTGCTGTTACACAGGGCAGGCAGAATAACCCCCAAGATTAAAAGTATGGTACAAGTTTCTTCTACGCCATAAAAATTTTCTGTGAAGTGATGATCTTTGTCATCCTGAACCAGAAGACTTCACTTCTGAGTATCAAAGTGTGTTTTGGTTTTGTTCTTGAGTGCCTTCACAGAATTGAAGAACTAAGTAACAAAAAGTGTTTTTGAAAAGGAATGCCCTCAGTTGATACCAGGTGTGGGCACACTCCAGATACGAACATAGCGTCATACTAGAAAAGATGGCAATCTATTGTGTCTCAATACCCCCAGGGAAAAAATCCTCACTCTCTCTCTAATGAATCAAGTTTTTAAAATGACAACTAGAGGAAATAACCAAGTGACAACGCCAACAAACTGCTGCTCAGATATGATTATTGCATCTAGGTCCAATGGATCCATTAAATACATATTAGTTTCTCAACAGGGCGGTGACTGGAGAAAACCACCTTACAACCATTATCAAAAAGAATGTATTCAAACAGTCTAAAAATAGAATTTTAACAAACTCTGTCGACAGCAGGTTTCTTCAGCTCCCATTGAATGAACAATCAAGAATGCTCGTCACATCTGTTAATCCTATTTGTGAAATGCTATTTAAACAGACTGCCATTCGAAATTGCCTGTACCCCTGAAATCTTCCAATCTACTATGTCCAACATATTACAAGGATTGTATGAAGTAATACATGGAGAACATATTAATACTGCTGACAAATTGCAATACATGACCAAAGGGTGTACACAGTTTGTATGAATGGTTCCTCTAAAGAAAAACCATTAGCAACAACAGCAGACTGCTAACTGTAACATTCATCATCGCACTGAACATTTGCCAAATTTAGATCTAACATTGAGTGAGGATTATAAATGATATTGATAGAACCAGCAACATGTCCACATACTTGAAACTGTGGCAGAAATTTCGTAGCATTGCATAAACATAACATATTACTACAGCCATGGAATGAAGAAAATGAAACATCTTCATGGAAATCATTCACAAAACACTTTGGTACAGGATTTAATTTCAAATCAGCCATCTTCAAACCAGCAGCGCGCTAATACTCGGAGTCCAACATGTATAAGATCTGGAACAATCCTCAAAGCTTCCCAATCAATTAAATTTCTGAAGTCAGAGACTTTAGGGAAAAAGGGATAGTGATGAACTTCACATCCAATTGCTTAAACAAGTGCAATAGGTTAAACAAGGTGAGGAAAGAAAACTTGAGGGGAGATATTGTACAATCCAGTTGAACTGAAAGGGATAACTTGGAAACTTTGAAGTAACACTATGCACTGAGATCTGGATTTCTCTGTCAGTTCACAATTATTCAGTACTTCAGTTCTAATTTGTTGTTTAGTGGTTTGTCAGTTCTATGAATGTAGCCATATTGCACAAAACTGGTTAATATCTCATAAGAAATAACAATGTCTCTCACCTAATGTTAAATAGTTAATAAGTCTTAAGCTAATGTAATTTTTTTTTGTTTTGCTTTTGTACCAAAGTGCATGCCACTTCACTGAAAACTTAGTGGTTTCGTCATTTATTATCAGTAAGCTTCATAGACTAGTAAGACAAGAAGGATCAGGGGCAGCAAAAAGATAACCAGGTGTAGAGCTGGATGAACACAGCAGGCCAGGCAGCATCAGAGGAGCAGGAAAGCTGACGTTTTGGGCCTGGACCCTTCTTCAGAAAATCCTGCTCCTCTGATGCTGCCTGGCCTGCTGTGTTCATCCAGCTCTACACCTTGTTAGATAACAAGCAGGAAAGCTGATGTTTCGGGAACCTTTTTATCTCCGATTCTCCAGCATCAGCAGTTCCTACCATCTCAGAGGCAGCAAATCTTGGCAAAGAAGATTCTAGAAGAATCCGGTGCTATCTGCAGATATCTCTTGAAATACAGGAGTCTTCAAGCTCTGCCCGCCCAGATACAGGTGTTGAGCCTCTGGTGTCATAAGCTAAAAGAATACTTATGAAACAGCAAAGGGTGTTATGTATGCATATGTCAGAATTTCCTAAGGCAATGTGTACTCTTGCATAGTAAATAGAGATGACTATCTCTAGTAGTCTCAGGCATTTATATTGACTACCTCTATTGAGAGGAGCAAACCTCATAGAGAATCAGATGTGACAGGACATTAATTAGATGCTGGCCCACATCGGTGACCTGAATGTTGTAGTTGCTAGTACTGAAAGCGCCATCCAAAGGCTCTGTTTGATAGCGGAATGCCATCCTTAAATGCAGCACAAGTTAGTAGCTCTAGCACTTTGCTACTAGGTACAAGTACTTCTGCTTTAATGTGTTTCTTTAACACAAATTGGCTGTAATGCGATTGATGAATAGTAGATGCTGTTTGGATAACATGAACTTTCTACAGTACAGTATAGCAATTTTCTGTAGTGATTTTGCCATACTGGCGATTTTTCTATGGTGATTTTCTGTAGTGCGAGGTTGCGCAGAAACGCAACTATCATGTTATAGGAGAAGTACCTGTTGGTGGCTTTGAGAAGAAAGTTAAGGAGACGGCTGATGGCAGTGGAGTCCCTAATCAAACAACAAGTCTCATCCCTTAAAAAAAATGACACTGCCTCATTTTTCTTGTTCTACTTGTATGAATCTGTGCATGCTGCATCCTGCCAACATGACATTCTGTCATTGCAATCTTTGGCACCTTGATGGGCTGCAAAGGAATAATGGTATCCCCCCAGTGCCATTTCATCTGTCAGAGCAGGTCAATAAGCAGCCTGCCTCTAGCTCTGCTGAAATGACAAGAGTTGCATCTACACAGCATTAATAGAAAATGCAACTCAAAAATGCCTTGGGTCTTACTAGATTCTTAATGTGCTGTCCTTTATTTTACTTGAAGAATGAGTTTTTGTGACCTGTTGTCATTGTCATGGCACTCTCTTTTGTTGGGTGATACATTGACTGGAATTTGGTAAATGCTGCTTAATGACCTGAGCTACATCAATGAGAATGTATGGCTGTGAATTTGATTAAGTGGATTTGTGTATGTAAGGGTAAGAGTTGTGGGTTTATTGGTAGAGTTGGAATATCTTGAAAGTGATTATAAAATAATCTAAAAGTAGCAGGAAGTGAAATATGCTGGATGAGGATGTTTCTTTGGGCATGGAGCTGGTATCAACACTTGCAAAGGATTGTTCTCCAAGGATATCAGCTGCTTTTTGGCTTCCTCTGTGTTGGGTCCAGCCCCCTTTGCAGTGCTATGTTTTGTACTCCTATTTCTGAATTGATTATTCTTCCTATTTAGTCTGCCATTTTTTATAATCAGAGTTACACATCCACCTTACCTATCTTATCGTTTAACCGTTTCTAAATGGATTCTGTATCTATTTTAATTAATGTAAATTTAGTGTTGTGTTGAATGTATTGGTACTTGTGAATAAACTTGAGTATGTGTTCCTGAAGTCATCAGTTGTGATTGTGTGCTATTCGTCAAGTTTGGAAGAATACGTAATTCAAGAGAAATTACCTCCTCGTGACCTCAAAAGCAATTCATCACATTTGAAGGATATTTATGACCCTTCTCCACTTGTGGATTATGCGCAAGAACAGTTTCTATTATTTAAGGCCAGTTAACATGGAAATATTCCCAAGAGAGTTGCCAGGTTTGAAATAAAACAATGGACCCCAAGTTAAAAGAAGGAATTATTACGAGAAGTACCAGAAAGAGTGGTTTTAAGGAAGGTAATGATTGATATTAGCTAAGATTTCCAGATTAGAAGATGTGATCACTATTGGATATAATGAGTAGAGTCAGATCAGTGGAGGAGTTGGAAGGGAGGGTGTTCTGTATTGGGCAAAAGTGTGACCTGCAATTCACTTTGCAAATGATTGAACAAAATCTTTGAAGAGTTCAAAAGCAGGTACAAGTAGAAGCTTTGCATGATAAATGTAATTTTATTTGTAAGTTTTACAATTATTCAAAGCTTCTGTTCAGAAATGCAAGTTTAGTTAAAATTCTGAATAATTTCGTTAATCATTATAGAAAGGTTTACTTACTGTTTTCACTTCTGTTTCAGGCAAAGAAAAACTAAGAAGAAACCAAAGGCACATGCTCCTGTAAACAAATGTACAAGAGGAGAAACACAGAAAAAGAAAAGGCACAGGCGACACAGAAAAGTGAAATCTTGCCAAAACAAGATGTCTGAGATGAAAGCTGAAACCCATTGGTGTGCAAGATGTCAGGAGCAGCACGCAACTAAATATGAAGATGATCTCTCAAATGAAGAGCACAGTGAATCAGAAAACCTCCATGCTACTTATTTGATAACTACACTGAGAGTTTCTCGAGATCAAATTGGACCGCAAGTAGAGAAGATTCTTAACTGCAAACCATTTAAATATGAACAAGTTGTTAAAGGACATTTAAAAATGACAGATGTTTTGCCTGAATCATCATGTGATCTACACATACAACTATTAGAAAGTTTTGAAGATTCATTTGATTTAGAAAATGTCTTGCCTTTATCAGTTATTTGCTGGGAAGCAAATCGAGTAGTTTTGGAACTGAGCTGTTGTATTTACAGAAGTGAAAAAGCCCAAGTTGGTTCTATGCAGCACCCATCTGAGTTTGAAAGTATATTGAAGAAAGCATTATTGGAGTACGTTCAAGGTGAGGGACCTGTAACAATCCTATCTTTAGAAGACAATACCATAGAGTGTGAAAGAAAGGAATTTGTCAATCTAATTTTGTCCAAAATTTTTTTAACTAATTTATTAGAAAACGAAAAAAAATCCGGTTGGGAATACTGTGATTGGCCTGTAAGTGATATACACAGGCCTTCTGAGCAGAGGCAAAAGGAAGAATATCGATTCAAACATAGAGATGTTTTAGTTAAAAATCAGATTGAAAATAATCCATTGACTCATAGTCTCCTTTCTCCTGAAAGCTCTTCCAATAAGAGAGCTTCTCAAAAAAACAATTGTGTTTTGCCACTGTGCAGGCAAGATAACTC